AATATGAATTGTGATACCACATCCAATGTCTTGGCCCCCATTTTATAGATGACCCGGTCCTCAATCACTCCCTTAATTGCTCCTTATTAATCACGATGCCAATAATCAAGCTTTAATTTCGTAATCCACCTCTTTCCTTACCATTGGAGGTTAATTCAAGTCTTTCCAAAATTCTTTGATCGAAAATATGGCATCGACGTGAATGGCTCAATTACCTCGCACAAATCAATACATGCCAAAAGTGAGTATGAATCTATCCAAAACATTAATTAAATCTTATAATTTATCTCTAGAAAATATATAATAATATATTTTTATCAATTCTCCCTCACCCAAACCATGCTTGCCCTCAAGCATAAACCAAATAAGCACACGAAAGAACTTGATGCAATCATAATCTCCACAAACAAATTCATATTATCATTACCTCAGTGAAACTCAAAACATACCAAGCGCAACATAACCTCACTAGGAATAAAGTGTATACACTCAACACTCAAATATATATGGGTTAACAAGACACTCGTGTCGCATCGTAAAAATGATTATCCCATAGGCTTGCATATTGATCACATCTCTTTATTCTTCGAATTCTAATGCAAATAATCAAAGGGTCTTTAAATAAGGTTGTAACGGGGGCTTTAGGTTGGGGTAGGATATAGGGTATTATTCGGCTAAATAAGTCAAAAAGAAAAAATATTCCAAGCTCATTTTGTAATATATAGACTCAGTGTAAAACTTCTCATTCCTCATTTATTCCTTCATTAGCATGTATACTCAAAACTTTATTCTTGCAATTTAAGTAAGAAGAATGCTCACCAAGATAACCCGTAGTACACCCAACTCAACCGACAGGTTAGCTTTATTCATTCATTTTATATTTTTATTTTTTTTTTATTTTTTATTTTTTTTATTTTATTTTTATATTTTATATTTTTATTTTTTTTTCAAAATTTTTTCTCTCATAAGTAATAAACAACAATAAATAGACATAACTTCTCATTCCCTTGGAGACTTTTAAAATAATATGAGCTCGAAACATTTTCCTTTGACTATAGGTTCAAATAAATTTTGGCTTTAGAAAGAAATGTCATAGGTTAAAATACAGCTTTTTAAACAATAAAAATAGGATATTCAAGCTCAACGAGGCTCACTAATTGATTAATTTTTTAGGTAGGAGATATATAAGGCTAAATAGTTCATCCTAATGCCCTTATCACATTAATCGCATAGACTTCTCGGAAATAAAATTCGACATGCATCGCTACGCAAGTTCTAGAAAACCAAGTATAGAGCAACAATCACACACAAGAAGAAATATATAGCATTTAAAATGAATGCTCTATTAGGCTCAAATCTCGCATAGGGTAAAGCATGTCGTACTCGGCATATTTATTGTTTACTTCATCGGCAAGTCATCTAATTAAAACATGTCATGTTGAAAAGAAATACATAAGTCTTTAGCACACAAGTCAATCATGCAATCGGGCAAACAATGGATATTTATGATATTCACCCCCCACACCTACTATGCACATTGTCCTCAATGTAGCGCATCGCGGAAAGTAAAAAGTTTAAGAAATCGTAGACTTCCCTGAAGCTTAGACATGCTTGCGTCCGGCATGAGCATGCCGAAATTCGCATCACCTTCTTGAATGCCAAATAAATGCTCGAATCAAGGCCCTGGGCATTGGAAAAATCATCACCACCTACGGAAAGCAAAGACAAGCAAATAATCACACCAAATAATAATAATAATAATAATAATAATAATAATAATAAAGCAAGAGAAAACATGAAGTAAAATAAGATTGGGTTGCCTCCCAAAAGCGCTTTTCTTTAACGTCTTCGGCTAGACATTATTATTAATTTTGAAATTAAATTAAGGGATCCTCAATGGCCATCCAAACCACGTCCTCAGCTTCAACGCCCTCTAGATAGGGTTTCAATCGATGGCCATTCACCACAAATTTCTTTTCAGTCTTTGAGCTTTGAATTTCACTGCACCATAAGGCAAAATATTAGTAATAACAAAAAGACCAATCCATATGGAACGTAACTTACCGGGAAAAAGCTTGAGCTTAGAATTATAAAGAAGCACTTTCTGACCGACATCAAAATTTTTCCTTAATATTCGTTGGTCATGAAAGGCTTTCGTTTTTGCTTTGTACGTCAAGGCACTCTCATATGCCTTATTCCGAATCTCCTCAAATTCCTGCAACTGTAACTTTCTATGTGTTCCCGCTTCGTCAATAATCATGTTGCTTTTTTTTACTGCCCAAAAAGCACGGTGCTCAAATTCAACAGGAAGATGACACGGCTTACCGAATACTAACCTATATGGCGACATTCCGATAGGCGTCTTGTAAGCGGTGTGGTAAGCCCATAGTGCATCTAGGAGGCGGAGACTCCAGTCCTTCCTATCCGGTCGAACAGTCTTTTAAAGAATAGATTTGATTTCTCGATTCGAAACCTCCGCTTGACCATTTGTTTGAGGATGGTATGAGGTCGAAACTTTATGCAACACGCCATACTTCTTGAAGAGAGCGGCGATGGTTTTCTTGCAAAAATGGGTTCCCCTATCGCTCACCATAGCCCTAGGCATTCCAAAACGAGTGAATATGGTGGACTTAATAAAATCTGCAACCACTTTAGAATCGTTAGTCAGGGTGGCTTTTGCTTCCACCCATTTTGAAACATAATCAACGGCGAGAATGATATATGAAAATCCATGGGACATGGGAAATGGGCCTATAAAGTCGATACCCCATACGTAAAAAATTTCAACAAATAACATTGGTACCTGAGGCATTTCGGCTCGAGAGGAAAGATTACCTACACGTTGGCAATTGTCGCATGACTTGCAAAAGGTGTGGGCATCCTTGAACAATGTTGGCCAATAGAACCCGCTATCCAAAACTTTCTTTGCCGTTCGTTGGGAACCAAAGTGTCCCCCACAATTAAGGGTATGACAAAATCGAAGAATGGATTGGTGCTCACCTTCTTGCACATATCTTCGCAAAATTTGATCCGAGCAACACTTCCACAAGTAAGGGTCATCCCAGATGTAGTACTTTGCGTCGCTTTTGAGTTTGTCACTCTTAGCTTTTGGCCAACCTGCGGGAAACGCTTTAGTTACTATATAATTAACTAAATCAGCATACCATGGAATACAATAATCAACTTGAAGGAGCAATTGTTCGTCCGGGGCTGTCTCATTTAGTGGTAATAGTCATTTTTGGCACAAGGGAGACGACTCAAATGATCGGCGACAAGGTTCTCCGATCCCTTTTTATCCCGAATATCCAAATCAAATTCCTGTAAAAGCAATAGCCATCTGATAAGTCTTGGTTTCACTTCTTTTTCGCCACTAAATATCGTAATGCTGCATGAACAGAAAAAATTACTACTTTAGTACCCAACAAGTAAGAACAAAAATTTTCTAATGCAAAAACTACTGCTAATAACTCATTTTCGGTAACAGTGTAGTTCAATTGAGCTCCACTCAAGGCTTTTGAGGCGTAGTAAATGGCGTAGGGACTTTTTCCTTCCCGTTGTCCTAACACCGCTCCAATCGCAACATCGCTTGCATCGCACATTACCTCAAATGGTAGCTCTCAATTAGGGGGGCGCACGATTGGCGGCGATGACAAAGACTCCTTAAGTGTGTCAAATGCTTTCTTGCACTCCTCGGTGAAATCGAACACCGCTCCTTTTTGTAGTAGCTCAAATAATGGGCATGCTATTTTTGAAAAATCCTTGATGAACATTCGGTAGAAACCTGCATGACCCAGAAAGGAACGTACCTCTCGAACGCAAGTAGGATATGGTAACATGGAAATTAGATCGACCTTCACCTTGTTCACCTCGATGCCTTGTGATGATGCAACATGGCCCAAAACTACTCCTTGTTCTACCATAAACTGACATTTCTCCCAATTGAGTACTAAATTCACTTCACAACATCTTTCCAAAATCAAAGATAGATTAGCAAGACAACTATCGAAGCTATCCCCGTAAACACTAAAATCGTCCATGAATACTTCAATAATTTTCTCAACATATTCAGAAAAAATACTTTACATGTACGTTTGAAATGTCGCCGGGGCATTGCAAAGACCGAATGGCATTCGTCTATAGGCAAACACTCCGAATGGGCATGTGAATGATGTTTTCTCTTGATCTTCCGGGGCGATAGCAATCTAAAAATATCCTGAAAAACCATCTAGAAAACAATAGTGAGCTCGAACAGCTAATCTTTCAATCATTTGGTCAATAAATAGGAGAGGAAAATGATCTTTCTTTGTCACGGCATTAAGCTTACGATAATCGATGCACTGCCGCCAACCAGTTTGCTTTCTTACCGGAATTAACTCACCATTTTGATTTGTCTCTACGGTTACCCCGGACTTCTTAGGAACAACTTGGATTGGACTTATCCAAGGACTATCGGCAATAGGAAATATGATTCCTGCATCCCGGAGTGTGAGGACCTCCTTCTTAACAACTTCTGTCATGATTGGATTCAACTTTCTTTGGCTCTGCCTCACCGGCTTTGCGCCTTCCTCAAGTGTGATCTTATGCGTGCAAAATAAGGGGCTTATACTTTTGATATCCGCTATCGTCCATCCTATCGCTTGTTTGTGTTCTTTTAGCACTTGAATCAATTTTTTCTCTTGTTCCGTCGTCAACTTCAATGAAATGATCACCGGAAGGGTCTCATTTTCTCCCAAATAGGCATACTTCAAATGGCTCGGCAGTGGTTTCAATTCCAACTCCGGCGGCTGCACAATCGAAGGCAATAAATGCATATTAGTCTCGGGTAAGAATATAGGAGCAAGGGCATACCTGTGTGAAACTAAAGTTGTAGCTTCTAAGGCTTGCATCACTTGCAACAAATCTGGAGCCAATCCTCGAGTAGGCATGCTTTGAACCTCCAAATGTTTCGTGAGCACCACTTCGAGCGCATCGTCACCCCTCAACTCAAAAGCATCCTGCACTTAAAGGTCAATAACATCTAACGAGAAAACAGAGTGAGGATCCAGGGGATATTTAATCGCATCAAAAATTTTGAATTCAATTTTTTCCCCATCAAATTCCATCGTCAAAATTCCATTCTTTACATCAATCTTAGTATCCGCCGTACACATAAAAGGCCTTCCTAAAAGTAGTGGTGATGGGTTGGGCGAATGCTCATCATGCATTTCTAAGACATAGAAGTCAACTGGGAAAATTAATTCATTGACTTGGACTAGGACATCCTCTATAATTCCTTCGGAATATGCATGTGTCCTATTAGCAAGTTGAATAATAATCCCGGTTTTCTTTAGCGGTGCAAGATTCAAACAGTTATAGATTGATTTTGGCATGACATTAATTGCCGCACCCAAATCTAACATAGCATGCTTGACTTCTAGTTGCCCTATTTTACATGGGATTGTGAACATACCCGGGTCTCCGCACTTCGGTGGAATCTTTCTTTGGAGGAGGGCCGACACATTTTCGCTTGCGATGATGCATTCATCGCCCTTTAACTTCCGCTTGTTGGTACACAACTCCTTTAAGAACTTTGCATACTTTGGAATTTGGTGGATTGCATCCAATAGGGGTATATTGAGCTCGACCTTTCGAAAAAACTCCAAAATCTCATTATCCCTTTTTGGCTTTATCGGCTTTGCCAACCTGGATGGAAAATGGGCAAGATTAGTATTTAATTTAGTGACAGTTTTATCAATTACCTCATTTTTCTTTGCATCTTCCTTCTTGATTCCCTTTTCAATGGTGCTCTCGTCTTTGTCCTTCGGGATGATTGGTTCCGGAGCCCCCACCATCTTCCCGGTTCGCAAAGTCATGGCACTAACATTCTTTGGGTTCCTTTCCGGTTGTGATGGCCATTTCCCCGTCTCCCTTTCCTTAACATGGCAAAGATCCGCCACTATTTGCTCCACACGAGATTCGAGATTCTGAATGCTCGCCCTCGTATCTTGCTGGAATTGGATTGTGTTAGCGGCCATGGTCTTCATCATTTCCTCCAGTGAAGTATTGGATTTAGAAGGTGGCAAATTGTTGCGGAGGTGCTTGTGGCAGGAACCCTTGATGGTGTGAATTTCCATACCTGAGATTCGGATGATCCTTCCACCCTGGGTTGTAGTTGTTTGAATAGGGATCATATTGTGGGCGTCTTGGTTGGTTGAAACCGGCTGGCTTCACATCGGCATGACTGTCCTCATGCAGGGTAGGGCATGCATCGGTGTGATGCTCCGGACTCGTGCAAATTCCACACGTTTTCACATGGCGTGTGTTTCCTGTAGCCAATTGATGAACAAATTTTGTAAGTTCAGATATTTGTTGTCGAAGAGAATCGTTACCTTCTGAATATTCGACTCCTCTTGTTCCGAATTGTTGCGAATTCTCTTCCATCCTTGCGATCAACTCCCATGCAGCTTTCGGGGTTTTATCCGCCAGTGCTCCTTGGCTAGCGGCATCAATGTTGTTCCGGTCTTGCATGCCCAGTCCTTCATAAAAGTATTGGAGCAAAAGTTGGTTAGTGATTTGGTGTTGCGGGCATCGCGCACAAAGCCTGTTGAACCTCTCTAGGTATTCGTGCAACGTCTCTCTTTGTTGTTGCTTGATTCCGTAAATTTCTTTGCGTAATGTCGCCGCCCGCGATGCCGGAAAATACTTTTTCAGAAATTTCATTTTCATGTCCCTCCAAGTAGTCACGCTTCCCGCCGGTAGAAAAAATAGCCATTCCTTCGCCGCATCCTTCAATGAGAAAGGGAATGCCCGTAGCTTTACTTGCTCTTCCGTAACCATTGGTGGTTTCATGCTTGAGCAAACCACATCGAATTCCTGCAAATGTTTATGTGGTTCTTCTCCTGCAAGGCCATGACATGAGGGCAAAAAGTGTATTAGTCCGGATCGTAATTCAAAACTAGCATTACCTTCAATTTTCGGCATAGTAATGCATAGAGGTTGTAAATTTAAATTAGGCGCAGCCAACTCCCTGAGCGTGCGGGTATCCTCTTCCGCCATATCGGGCTCTTGCTTGATCGATTCGCTCAGTTGAAAACTCGATGCCTTTTCAAATTCAAGCTTTCTTTTTGCTTTCTTCGTAATTTCCTTGCCAATCTCTTGATTTCCGCTTCGTATATTAAATTTCCTGTACGAGAAGAGCGGGGCATAAACTATAGAAATATATAATATATATAATAAAATTGAAAAATAAAAAAATAAAACAAACGCCAGTCCCAGACAACGGCGCCAAAAATTGGTAGCCTCGATGCTTCCAATAAAATTACTCTAACACCACGTATAGCAAGTGATGCCAAGGTCGATCCACAGGGACTGTGAAGTTCAATTTTTGTTTTGTCACAATTTTAAATATTGGGGGATGGATTAGCAATTCACTCAAATAATTAAAATAAACGATGGAAAATAAAATTTTGATTTCAAAGAGTAAACTTCTAGCCCAAGGAGTGAATAAGAAACCGGATTAAAGATTCGATCATTGATTTTAAATAATCTTGTTATTCAACTGATAAATTGGTTATAGGCATTAGATACGATCATAACACCCAATTTTTTCTTACTTTATTGGCGGCACGGGTACGACCGATTAACCGCATCCCTAATCAAAGAAATAATCTAGGAACTTTGTGCTCTATAGTGCTTCTAATTGCAGTGCTTTTCATATTTGTTGTAAAGTGTTCGAAATTAGTATATTTAGCGCCTTTGTTTTTTTAATGGTTTTCCTTTATATTTTATAGCATGTTATAGATTATACTTACTTTGTGCTCTATAGTGCTTCTAATTGCAGTGCTTTTCGTATTTGTTGTAGAGTGTTCGAAATTAGTATATTTAGCGTTTTATTTTTTCAATGATTTTCCTTTATATTATATAGCATGTTATAGATTATACTTACTTTGTTCTCTATAGTGCTTCTAATTGCAGTGCTTTTCGTATTTGTTGTAAAGTGTTCGAATTAGTATATTTAGCGCTTTTGTTTTTTCAATGGTTTTCCCGTATATAATATAGCATGTTATAGATTATACTTACTTTGTGCTCCATTGTTCTAATTGCAGTGCTTTTCGTATTTGTTGTAGAGTGTTCGAAATTAGTATATTTAGAGCTTTTATTTTTTCAATGTTTTTCCTTTATATTATATAGCACGTTATAGATTATACTTACTTTGTGCTATATAGTTCTTCTAATTGCAGTGCTTTTCGTATTCGTTGAAGAGCGTTCGAAATTAGTAAATTTAGCGCATTTGTTTTTTCAATGTTTTTCTCTTATATTATATAGAATGTTATAGATTATACTTACTTTGTGCTCTATAGTTCTTCTAATTGCAGTGCTTTTCGTATTTGTTGTAGAGTGTTCGAAATTAGTATATTTAGCGCTTTGTTTTTCTCAATGGTTTTCCTTTATATTATATAGCATGTTATAGATTATACTTACTTCGTACTCGATAGTTCAAATTGCAGTGCTACTCGTATTTGTTGAAGAGTGTTCGAAATTAGTAAATTTAGCGCTTTTGTTTTTTCAATGTTTTTCTCTTATATTATATAGAATGTTATAGATTATACTTACTTTGTGCTCTATAGTTCTTCTAATTGCAATGCTTTTCGTATTTGTTGTAGAGTGTTCGAAATTAGTATATTTAGCGCTTTGTTTTTTTCAATGGTTTTCCTTTATATTATATAGCATGTTATAGATTATACTTACTTTGTACTCGATTGTTCAAATTGCAGTGCTATTCGTATTTGTTGAAGAGTGTTCGAAATTAGTAAATTTAGCGCGTTTGTTTTTTCAATGTTTTTCTCTTATATTATATAGAATGTTATAGATTATACTTACTTTGTGCTCTATAGTTCTTCTAATTGCAGTGCTTTTCGTATTTATTGTAGAGTGTTCGAAATTAGTATATTTAGCGCTTTGTTTATTTCAATGGTTTTCCTTTATATTATATAGCATGTTATAGATTATACTTACTTTGTACTCGATAGTTCAAATTGCAGTGCTACTCGTATTTGTTGAAGAGTGTACGAAATTAGTAAATTTAGCGCGTTTGTTTTTTCAATGTTTTTCTCTTATATTATATAGAATGTTATAGATCATACATACTTTGTGCTCTATAGTTCTTCTAATTGCAGTGCTTTTCGTATTTGTTGTAGAGTGTTCGAAATTAGTACATTTAGCGCTTTGTTTATTTCAACGGTTTTCCTTTATATTATATAGCATGTTATAGATTATACTTACTTTGTACTCGATAGTTCAAATTGCAGTGCTACTCGTATTTGTTGAAGAGTGTACGAAATTAGTAAATTTAGCGCTTTTGTTTTTTCAATGTTTTTCTCTTATATTATATAGAATGTTATAGATTATACTTACTTTGTGCTCTATAGTTCTTCTAATTGCAGTGCTTTTCGTATTTGTTGTTGAGTGTTCGAAATTAGTACATTTAGCGCTTTGTTTTTTTCAATGGTTTTCCTTTATATTATATAGCATGTTATAGATTATACTTACTTTGTGCTCTATAGTGCTTCTAATTGCAGTGCTCATCGTATTTGTTGTAGAGTGTTCGAAATCAGTACATTTAGCGCTTATGTTTTTTCAATGTTTTTCCTGTATATTATATAGCATTTTATAGATTATACTTACTTTGTGCTCGATAGTTCTAATTGCAGTGCTTTTCGTATTTGTTGTATAGTGTTCGAAATTCGTACATTTAGCGTTTTTGTTTTTACAATGGTTTTCCTTTATATTATATAGCGTGTTATAGACTATACTTACTTTGTGCTCGATAGTTCTAATTGTTGTGCTTTTCGTATTTGTTGTAGAGTGTTCGAAATTAGTATTTTTAGCGCTTTTGTTTTTTCAATGGTTTTCCTGTATATTATATAGCATGTTATAGATTATACTTACTTTGTGCTCCATAGTTGTAATTGCAGTGCTTTTCGTATTTGTTGTAGAGTGTTCGAAATTAGTACATTCAGCGCTCTTGTTTTATAAATGTTTTTCCTGTATATTATATAGCATGTTATAGATTATGCTTACTTTGTGCTCCATAGTTCTAATTGCAGTGCTTTTCGTATTTGTTGTAGAGTGTTCGAAATTAGTACATTTAGCGATTTTGTTTTTTAAATGTTTTTCCTGTATATTATATACCATGTTATAGATTATACTTACTTTGTGCTCCATAGTTCTAATTGAAGTGCTTTTCGTATTTGTTGTAGAGTGTTCGAATTTCGTACATTTAGCACTTTTTTTTTTCAATGGTTTTCCTTTATATTATATAGCATGTTATAGATTATACTTACTTTGTGCTCTATAGTGCTTCTAATTGCAGTGCTTTTCGTATTTGTTGTAGAGTGTTCGAAATTAGTATATTTAGCGCTTTTGTGTTTTCAATGTTTTTCCTTTATATTATATAGGATGTTATAGATTATACTTACTTTGTGCCCCATAGTTCTAATTGCAAGGCTTTTCGTATTTGTTGTAGTGTGTTCGGAATTAGTATATTTAGAGCTTTTGTTTTTTCAATGTTATTCCTTTATATTATATAGCATGTTATAGATTATACTTACTTGGTGCTCGATAGTTCTAATTGCAGTGCTTTTCGTATTTGTTGAAAAGTGTTCGAAATTAGTCTATTTAGCGCTTTTGTTTTTTCAATGGTTTTCCATTATATTATATAGCATGTTATAGATTATACGTACTTTGTGGTCAATAGTGCTTCAAATTGCAGTGCTTTTCGTATTTGTTGTAGAGTGTTCGAATTAGTATATTTTGCGCTTTTGTTTTTTCAATGGTTTACCTTTATATTATATAGCATGTTACAGATTATACTTACTTTGTGCTCTATTGTGCTTCTAATTGCAGTGCTTTTCGTATTTGTTGTAGAGTGTTCGAAATTAGTATTTTTAGCGCTTTTGTTTTTTCAATGTTTTTCGTTTATATTATATAGCATGTTATAGATTATACTTACTTTGTGCTCCATAGTTCTAATTGTTGTGCTTTTCGTATTTGTTGTAGAGTGTTCGAAATTAGTATATTTAGCGCTTTTGTTTTTTCAATGATTTTCCTTTATATTATATAGCATGTTTTAGATTATACTTACTTTGTGCTCTATAGTTCTTCTAATTGCAGTGCTTTTCGTATTTGTTGTAGAGTGTTCGAAATTAGTATATTAAGCACTTTTTTTTTTCAATGTTTTTCCTTTGTATTATATAGCATGTTATAGATTGTACTTACTTTGTGCTCCATAGTTCTAATTGCAAGGCTTTTCGTAATTGTTGTAGAGTGTTCGAAATTAGTATATTTAGAGCTTTTGTTTTTTCAATGTTTTTCCTTTATATTATATAGCATGTTGTAGATTATACTTACTTTGTACTCTATTGTGCTTCTAATTGCAGTGCTTTTCGTATTTGTTGTAGAGTGTTCGAAATTTGTAAATTTAGCGCTTTTGTTTTTTCAATGGTTTTCTTGTATATTATATAGTATGTTATAGATAATACTTACTTTGTGGTCCATAGTTCTAATTGCAGTGCTTTTTCGTATATGTTGTAGAGTGTTCGAAATTTGTACATTTAGCGCTTTTGTTTTTTAAATGTTTTTCCTGTATATTATATAGCTTGTTATAGGTTATACTTACTTTGTGCTCCATAGTTCTAATTGCAGTGCTTTTCGTATTTGTTGTAGGGTGTTCGAAATTCGTACATTTAGCGCTTTTGTTTTTCCAATGGTTTTCCTTTATATTATATAGCATGTTATAGATTATACTTACTTTGTGCTCTATAGTGCTTTTAATTGGAGTGCTTTTCGTATTTGTTGTAGAGTGTTCGAAATTAGTATATTTAGCGCTTTTGTTTTCTCAATGATTTTCCTTTGTATTATATAGCATATTATAGATTATACTTACTTTGTGCTCCATAGTTCTAATTGCAAGGCTTTTCGTATTTGTTGTAGAGTGTTCGAAATTAGTATATTTAGAGCTTTTGTTTTTTCAATGTGTTTTCTTTATATTATATAGC